TTGTTAAGCGCATTCTGTCAGTTAGGATACCAATACTGTTCTTTTTTCCTGGAAGATAAAATTAAAAGAGAGATTTTAAAGTTCATTTTTTTCCTAAAGCCTGTGTCCATGAGATGGCTCAGATGATAAATGTGATGTTATGGAAATTTTGGGGAGTCCACCATAGTTTCTACATATTACTGGGAGCTTTGGGGTCCCTTTTGAGCTTTTAAGTCTCAATAGTAAAAAAAATTAAGAGTAGACACAAAGGGAAGCTTGAAGACATTTTATTAAAGTTTAAAAGAAAAACTCCAGGGCAGCAAGCTGCAAGTCTCAGCAGCTTCCTGGAAGAGGAAGATGGAGAACAGAAAAGGTTTGATCTGAGCATAGAAGTCAGACATTTCAGGAAGCCCCCTGGTGGGGAGGAGGACTTGAGAAAAGTGAAACCCAACGTGTTAGGAAAAGCATGCTTGGGAAAGAAATAGAAGAAAGGTTACAATTGCCTCATAATTCAGAAAAGTGAGCAGCACCTCAGGGCTGCAGGGCTGCAGGGCTCCAGTTCTGTGAGCACAGAAATTCCAGGGAGGAAAAGTACATTATCTAATTAAAGGGATAATTATGCCTGCTATCCCTTTCGCATGGCCTAAGGTAAACCCTCTTTCCTGGGGGTTGTTCTCTTGGCCAGGAGACTGACTAGCCCATTTGGATGATTTTTTGTTTGTTTTGTTTTGTTTTTTTTTAATATTTTTATTTTAATTTTTATTAATTACACTTTATTCACTTTGTATCCCCTCATAAACATCTTCCCTCCCAATCCCACCTTTCCTCCCCCTTCTCTACGCATGCCCCTCCCCAAGTCCACTGGTAGGGGAGGTCTTCCTCTCCTTCCTTCTGATCCTAGTCTATCAGGTCTCATCTGGAGCGGCTGCATTGTCTTTGTTTTGGGTAGTTATTAGGTCTCCAGTGAAGCCCGAGGACTAGCTTTCTCTAATGAGCTCCACAGAGATCAAGGGCTGTGACAGTGTTTAACAACCTGAGTTCAGTCCCTGGAACTCACACGGTATTTAGCAGAGAATCAACTACACATACACATACAAATAATAAGTTTTTAAGTAATTTGTAGATCATTCACTTGGCAGGATTTGTTGTTGGGTATGACTTCAAAGTCTACATTCTTCTTGGTAATTCTTAGTGATCCCAGCATTTTCTTCATTGACGGATCGCAGTGTGTGTGTGTGATTTCTACAGGGACACGAAAAGCAGAGACCTGTGGTGCTTCAACCTGCTGGCTCAGCACTGAGCACCAGGCAGAAATGTCACCAAAGCAGTTGTGGATCTGTCCACCTAGCCACGCCAACCTCACCAAACCGCCCATGAGTTCAACAAGTAGAAGGGACACCAACTAAATGGACTGTCCGTAGTACTTACACCAGAGGCACAGGCATTTCTGTGTTACTACTTAACTACTGCTTCCCAGGCAGCCACAGGCTTGGTCATACCCTGGATGAAATCTAGTGTGGTGTATCTCCACTCTGCAGATCATGCCCACTCAAGGATGTACACTCCCCTTCTGACTGATGAAGAGCTTTAATGATTCAGTCCAGGAAAGACTTCCCCTTTGCTATCTATTGAGAGTTGCTCCTTTGGAAGTTTTAGGAATTATGTCAGAACAGCATTGTTTAATACTTGGTGGGTCCATGGATTCTGTTGTTTGTCTTGTATACCCAGTAGTGCTCTTCCATTTGGTTACTCAGCTGTATAATAGTGAAGTGGCATTGAGCTGTACATCGTTTCCGGGACTTTGGATTAAAACAAATATATACAAAGAGGGTACATGGGCATGTGTCCACTAATTTCATAATTGTTACAGGATTGTCTTTCATGTGAGAAAACCATGTGCTCCCTAGATGGAGTGTGCAGGTTTATGAATACAGCTGACCCAACTCCACCCCCTTTATCAAATTGCCTCAGCCTCTTTCCTATTTCATACCCTTTCTCTTAACTCTCACATTCTTGCAGCTTCTTCTGTACACAATAAGCAGTTCTTCCTCATCGTTCTCTTCTTTCTCCATCTTCTCCTTCTCCTCCTTCTCTTTCTTCTTCTTCTTGTATTTAGAATGGAACCCAGAGTATTGCACATACTAGACAAGTGCTCTGCTTCCAGACCGCATCTTTAGCCCACATATAATCTTAACAACAAATCAAATTCTCTCTTTCTTTACTCTCTGCTTCAAAATACTTCAACTACTTTCTAATTTTACTTATAATAGTTCCAGATGTCATATGAAATCTGGTCAGGTTCCCGCCAACATCTCTGACCCCATCTAATTCCTCATGACACAAATATTTACGGAATGAATCAATAACATTTTTTTTTCTGGGACTGGAGAGATGCTCAGGGGTTAAAAACACAAACTGTTTTTAAAGACCATGTGAGTTCAGTTCCCAGCACCTACATACGGCAACTTCAGGCTGTGTGTAAATGCCTGACTGGGGGAGCCAAAGCCCCCTGCTGGCCTCTGTGAGCACTGCATCCACATGGAGATGTCCCCACATTCAGGCACACCACACATGCGTCATTTAAAATAAAAGGCAACAAACATTTTTCTTACATTTTATAACTTATGGAAACTTCACAAAACTATTGTGCTAGAACATAACATGAATTCCAGGTAGTCATCTGGATGGCAACTGATTGGCAAATGCCATTGGTAACACATCTACTATCAGTCATTGGCTCTGTTTTGTCAAAAATGTTGAGTTAAACTTCACCCCCACTCCACCTCAGAGGCAATTGGTCAAAGCCACACTCCTTCACGTTTTGGTTGTCTGACAGTTAATAAGACAAAGATCAAGCAGAAATGTCTATATCAAAACTGTACTGTATGAAGGATGAGCTGTGGCTAGTCGCCTGATGATGGATTCAGCTGCTAGCTGATTGCTCAATCAAGCAAGGATTTTTAAAGTTTCATAATAAGGAAGTTTTCAAAGAATTTGCATCAATTATTATTATTTTTCTAAGTTTACTATCCCTTAGATTTACTAACACCATGAAAACAAAAGACAGCAATTACTTGGATCACCAGAAAGGGCAGTTTCAATACTGCCATGAGTAGTTGACAGTGGGTCTGGATGGAGGATGGATTAGTACCCTGGCTTCACTCCCGAGATGCCCCATGCTGTTATACTTGGATAAATAATAATGAAGCAAAAGTAGACTACAGGTAAAACCCGCAATTCTACCTGAGCAATCCAATGAAAAGCACTCTAGATTGCTAGTTAGATGTGTATTTAGAGAAGTAAATAAGTCCAGGTAAAAATATATAATTACTTTGAAAAAGACTGTTTTTCAAGATTGTGATTCCCTTAACGACCTCCTTTTACAACCCCAGTATCTATTTACAGCAGTTAGGCCCTTTAGGTGTCCTTGCTGCAGGGAAGTAGGGTCTCCAAGTCATGCTTCAAGACTAGGCTGGGCTCTTCCTGACGTAGGCCGTGGGCATGCTTTATGACCCAGTACAAGGGATGGGCCACAGTGTCCTTCATTCCCATTGTGTTTGTGAAACTGGCCCCTGAATCCTGAAAGTTCATTCTCAATTCACTCTCAAAGGCAAAGAAAAAAAAGTCATTTTCCAGACATTTTTAATTTAGTCTGAAAGTAAACCCAGGGGCTTAAAATGCTCAACTCTTTGAATGTAATTAGAAAATATCATTTAACTCCTTACCTTCAAAGTAAACTTGAACGATTCAGTGTGCAGAATGAGCAAGCACCTGCAGACTAACAGGACTCACTGACACCAAGGGCTTTGATACATGAGCTGGGAAGTGCATGGGCTTCACACACTTTAACAATGGTACTAAGACTATGTGCAAAGGAAAGCTGTTGTCACACTGGTTCATGGGCACACTTAGCATGGCCTCTTTTCTATTGAAAATCTTCTGCCGTGGGGGCTGGAGGGGCGGCTCAGTGGTTAAGACTGTCTTGCTATTGCAGATGACCCGAGTTCAACTCCAGCCCCCAAATCAGGTGGCTCACAACCATCTGTTACTCCAGTTCCAGATAATCCAACACCCTCTTCTGGCCTCCAAAGCACCAGATACCAGATCATCCCTCTCTTTTCTCTCTCTCTTTCTCTCTCTCTCTCTCTCTCTCTCTCTCTCTGTCACACACACACACACACACACACACTTGCATGGAAATATAAAAATAAGTCTTTTTCAAAAATCTCAAATTGAAAACAAACAAAAATCAAACAAAATGTCTATAATCTAATGCTAACTTTTTAAGAGAGAAAAACTTGCAAAGAGAATGCACCCCATTCACGAGAGACTTGAGTACATTCTAGCAGCTTTGTTTGGTGGCTGTGTGCGGTTACAGGTGAGTACAGGTCTCACAGACACAAGCCAGCATGCAGCACTTCCCTGCACTGCACCCCAAACACTTCCTGAGAAAGGAAGAGACTGCTCAAGCATCACACTTTCTCACACCGGCATAATATGTTCCAACTTTGTTTTTATTTTATTTTTTGCTCAAAGAATATAGCAGTTTGGATATACAAAGGAAACTGTCAGTGAATTTTTATGCTGCAATTACTTTTCCAACATCCACTCTTTGTGATATCTAATATTATGTAAAGGTTAATATAGCAACAAATACAGATGATTAAATTACGTACACAAAGATTAGCACTTTCTTTCTTCCTTTATTCTAATTTAGTGAATTAAAGAAACCAGGAATAAACAAATGGGTAGCCAATTATGTTCTGGTTCTGACTGTTTTTACCCAACCACTATTTTATTCTTATTCACTTTAAATTAACATCAATTCATTTTCTTTTTATTTTATTAAATAAAGTGAGTACAGAAAATGTACTCACTTTCTGTCCCAAAGGCAGCCCCTCCCTCTTCTCCTCCTCTTGCCACCCTCCTTTATTCTTCTGAAAAGTGGAGCCTCCCCCAACCCCGCCCGGCTGCGCCAAGCCCAGCACATCCAGTCACATCAGGCCTAAGTGCATCCAGACAAGGCAGCCCTAGGCTTCACAAATTTGAGTGTGATCCTTGCACGGGGGCCATGCTAATCTTCTCTGTGTCGCTCCAATTTTTCGTATATGTGCTGCCAAAGGGAGCACATCAATTCATTTTTCAAACAAAGCTTACGCTTTAAAGTGTCTTTAGTACAAATTGCTATAAGTTGTATAAAGAACTTTTTACTAAGAGCTACGGTCATCCCGTAGTTTCCATTGGTTTCAGGGCTCTAGGGACTAACAGAACTCACAAATGGGGTGGGAAGATGACTCAGGGGGTTAAGGCTTTGCTGTTCCAGCATGAGGAACTGCTTTCAAATCCCAGCACATGTAAATGCAAGGCGTGACAATGACCCTCACACATACATGTAAGCTCAACCCCACATGAGCCTGAACAAACAAAATAAAATTTTAAAATCCACAGATGCTCAGGTCATTCCAGTAAATATATATTATATATTTAATATATATATAAAAGCATTTCTAGGTCACTTACAACGCCTAACATAAAATTTACATAACCAGTTGCTAGCCTGAATTATGACAAGAAAATGGATATTAATTTGTCTGAAACACAATTTTATTTTTAGATCTACTTTGTGTGTATGAACACTTTGCATGTATTTTTGTATACTAAGGGTGTGCCAGTGCCAACAGCGTGTGGGATCCCCTGAACTGGGAGACAGGGATGTTGTGAACCACTAGGAGGGAGCTAAGGATTCATGTCTGGGTCCTCCGAGAGAGCAATGAGTATTCTTAACCACTGAGCTCCTCTCCAGCCCCCACAGTTTTGTGTGTTTGTTTGTTAGCTGGTTGGTTGGTTTTAGCACTTTTGATTCATAGTTAGTTGAATATATAGATATCAAACCTGCCAACATAACTATATTTCAAATCAAAAGAAAATAATCCCAGCCTGAAAGGGGAAAATATGCTCTTGCAATATTTTTTATTAGAAGAATGTATTTTATTGTGTTTTTATTAGAAGAATGTATAAATGTATTTTACTTAACAAAAACCCATTTTCATGCAGCAATACATTTTCACTTGCTTCTAGATTCTAGGTAGATGAATCCAGAGAGCTGGGGAGAATCCTCTATCCAGAACTTACTAATTACCAGTGTGCTGTTTGGACTCACAAGGTCACTCAAATATCAGGTCTAAGTGGAGCCCAGATGCGGCAGAAGGAGCCTGTGAACTCACTGGAGGCTCCACATCTCCCACCCCAGGGATGGCTGTGTCATGCGCAGTCTCACCATGGAGGACAGCAGAACTTCGCTGCAGTGAGACGAGGCTGCATACGGCCAGGATGGCTACTAAACAAGCGCCAACCACTGCGGGCCAGTGCGCAAGCTGCAATGACCACTGTTCGGAGCTAGCATGAATGCGGACTGTTGATCTGTAAATAGTAGAAACCAATAGAGGAAGGCAGCTGGGCCCTAGAAAGAGGCCACCACCAGGAAGCGAAACTCTCAGGATTTTCTCTCCCTCTATCATCTCTTGGCACATTTACTTTATCATTCTGAGAAGAAGCTCCAGTTTCTGCTCTTTGTGGAATAAATTACATATGTGATCTTTCAACTTCAGATATTAGCACTGCTGGCCCCAAACGCACCGTTATTCCAAAAGAAAAGCAATGGTCCTGCAGTTGAATGTGTGCCCAGGTGCATGGAGCCATCTGTATCCAGTTCATGACTTCCCCTTGATGGATCCCCACGGGTAAAAGCAACAGTGTCAGAATTAAGAAACCCCCAGAACAGCGGTTCTCAACCTTCCTAATGCGTGACCCTTTAACATAGTTCCTCATGTTGTGAGCCCCAACCATAAAATGATTTTCATTGCTACTTTATAACTGTAATTTTGCTACTGTTATGAACTGTAATATAAATATTTTTGGAACTAGAAGTCTGTCAAAACGACTGTGACCCACTGTCAGAGAACTGTGCTTCAGACCAATTTAAATGATGATGAAATCAAAGCTCAGGAGATCTTGGTTGATGCCAATTAGCAAGGTCATGGCCACCCAGTACTGATCTTGAGTTCCAGGCTCTTTGCTCTTAGCAGAGCTGGCATGTCCAACTTGACTGTTACAGTCTGAATGCACAATGTCCCCGACAGGCCCCTGGGAATTCGTGATCCCCAGATGGAGGCACTGTTTGGAGATGGGACTTAGAGCAGGTGGAACAGGTAGCTGACTAGTGGCCCTGGTTCTGACCCCAGCTGTTTTGAACTATCTCATGATGTAACTAACTGCTTCATAATCTCAGCTCCTTCTGCTGCAAGCCTTCCCACCATCATGCCTTCCCCACCTCCATGGATCTGCTCGATAAAGCCACCATGGAAAATACATCCTTCCTTCTTTACATTGCTTCTTTCAAGAACTCCATCAAGCTATGAGAGAAGTAATACACTCAAGTCAAAAAAGGAGGTCCTTAGCAATAAAAAATAAATTAATTTAAAAAAAGAGGTCCTTCTGTTTACTGGTATATTTAATCCTAAAGAAAAGGCTCAAAGTTATATCTTAAGCCAAACATACACCCAGAAAAGTCACTCCGCTGTTCTAAAATCAAGCTCTACAGTAAGTTATCATCTTTAGTCCTTCTAATTCATAACCCTCTTCATGCTACGACCCCCATTCCACAGGGAACAGCTTCCTGAGGGTTGAAATTTCCCAACTGCCAGCTCTCAGGTAATTAATGAGTCAACTGTCACTAGAAAGACATAATGACCTTTGCAAGAAAAGAACAACCTACTGTTACACTCTAGTTCTTTTCCTCCATCTTCCCTTATGCTTCAGGTACTTCCATATTTGAGCCAACTTGTGATCTGTACAGCAGACACCTGAATTTCACTGTGCTTAAATGCAGACAGATCATGAAGTGCCTCTTGCTCTCCCTCCACCACACACAAATGTCTCAGTTATGCTATTTAAAGTATTGCACACTTTTATAAGAATTAAGGTCTTTTTCATTGTATCTCAGCATTAAAAAGAACACTGAACTAAAATTTGGGACAAGGAGCTTGCAAGAATCTGTCATGTATTTTTATGCTGTAATTGTTACATTATTAAGTTGTGTGTGGTCACATTTTTTAGTGTCAAAGAGCTCAACACAGCTTAAAACTAAAAACAGCACCTCCCACCACAGCCTTCCCGTGCCACAGACATAAGTCCACTCCCGTATTTTTTTACTGTGGTATTTGTTTACACATTTCAAATTACACATTTCAAATATATTGTTATGTTATACTTATGTGAGTTGATATTTAGTGTGTTATGAATAAAAATGCAATTTGATGAAAACATGTAATGTTTCAGCATTTATATTATTTTATTATATATTAATGAATTTAATAATTTAATAATATAGTATTTTATATATAATATACAATAAATATTAAAACATGAGTTTTGCTTTTAGACATGACAAGATATTTTATTTAAGTATTTATTGGTGTGTGTCTACATATGTGTGGATGTAGGATCACTGTGCCAGGTGAGGGAGCAAAGATATTTGTATCAGTGCAGGCCCTGCAGGTGTCTCTGGATAGAGATCCTGGCTATGTGCTATAAACACCCAAGTTCTCCCTTACCAGAAAAGTGCATAATTAACTTGAGCAGTCTAAAGTCCCTGACTTTTTTTTAATGTGCTTTAACTACAGAGAGTCTGCTGTTAATGACTAAGAATACTGAATGGAGAAAGAGAGAAAGAGAAAGAGAGAAAGAAAAGAAGGGAAGGAAGGGAAGGAAGGGAAGGAAGGAAGGAAGGAAGGAAGGAAGGAAGGAAGGAAGGAAGGAAGGAAGGAAGGAAGACACGACTGCTTCTAGGTATGTTGGAGGGGAAAGTAGCTAAAAGGAAGGTCATAGCCAGAGGCAAAGACACCTGGGAGAGTCCAGAGTGGACATGACCCCAAGCCATGTGAGGAGAGCAGGAAGGAGAAGGGAGAAGGAAGGAAGAAAGGGAAACCAAGTGCAGCAGTCAAGAGCCCAAAAGGTTAAAAGGTTTGGAGGTTAGTTACACAGGTAACCAAAATGGAAGAGCCTCTGGGGGAAGCACAGCCCAACCCCTGGGCTGGAGACTTGGGGTGTGTGTGGGGGGGACTGAGGGATGCTGGGACAACCTGGCAGCCACTTGGATATTTTACAAAGGCACCTCAGCCATTTGTCACAGAGTTTGAAACTCAGCATATACTAAGTGGACATGGAATTAACAGTTGGAGCAGTTGTTCTGCCTCAAAATTTGCAAGACAGTGTTCAGTGATCTTTTAGTTGTTTCTGTCTTGTATTAGCAAAGCACCTGAGAGAATCAACTTAAGAGGAAAGATTTATTTCAGAGGACAGGCTTGGAGGTTTCAGTTCACAGTCAATTGGCCTTGTTGTTTTTGGACTTGTTTGTGGCAAGCCAAATCTTATGATTGGGAATGAAAGAGAAAGAGGAAATGAACAAGGCCCATGGCCCATAATTCTAAGGGCACCCCCTCCCAAAAATGAGAAAACCTCCCACTAGGCCCATCTCTTCTAAGTATCCACCATCTCTCAACAGTATCAAGCCAGGGATGTTCAAAATGCAAACAACGGCAACTGTGATGTCATGTTTTGCCTTAAGACTGTGAGTATAGCTTATTTTTTCCTCTGGGGGCTTTGAGAATATTCTCTTTTTGAAACTCCTAATTAGGGGGCTAGAGAAATGACTCCACAAGTAAACTGCTCGTTACACAGAGCCTGAGCACCCATGGGAAAGCTAGGTATGGGCATCTTGATCGTTGTACCCTCCTCCTCTCATCCAGGTCCCTCTCTCTTTTCCCCCTCCCCCCTTTAGTCCTCAGAATGGGGGAGACCTCCTCCCCTATCAGCTGACACCAGGTTATCATGTCTCATCAGGACTGCCTGCATCCTCTTCCTCTGTAGCCGGGCAAGGCCACCCTACCAGGGGGAAGTGGTCAAAGAGCAGGTAACAGAGTGAGTCCATGTCAGAGACAACCCCTGCTCCCCTTACCAGGAATCCCACATGAAAACTGATCTACCTACGTGCTACATCTGAGCAGAGGGCCTAGGTTCTCTCCTAGCATGGTCCTTGGTCCAGTCTCTACAAGGTCCCCTGAGCCCAGAT